TTTTTTAAATTTATTAAAAAAATTTTTCAATGTTTTTATTAATTTTTGAGACAGAGAGAGACAGAGCATGAGCAGGGGAGGGGCAGAGAGAGAATGAGACACAGAATCCAAAGCAGGCTCCAGGCTCTGAGCTGTCCGCACAGAGCCCAACGTGGGGTTCGAACTCATGGACCATGAGACCATGACCTGAGCCGAAGTCGGACGCTTAACCGACTGAGCCACCCAGGCGCCCCTTCAAATATTTTTTTCTTAACCACACCTTCCTCTTTTCCTAGGAGTTTGAGAACACAAATGTGAGGCGTTTCAATATCGTGCCACAGGTCCCTGAGTCTCTGTTCATTTGTTTTTGAACCCCTTTTTCCTCTCTGTAATACAAAGTGGGTCATTTCTATTGATCTGTCTTCAAGTTCACTTCCTCTTTCCTCTGCCATCCTCGTCCCACCACCGAGTCTCTCTAGTGGGCTTTTTGTTTTGGTTATTATATGTTTTATTTCTAAAATTTCCATATCATTCTTCTTTATATTTTCTATTTCTTGGCTTTCCACTTTCTCAAGTGTTTACTCTTACTGGCCAGAGCATTTCTGTAATACTTGCTTTGTCACCGAATCCCAATGTCTGTTTTTTCGGCACTGGTGACTGTCATCTCTTCACATTCCAGTTGACATGTTCATGGTTCTTTGTTTGCCAGGCAATTCTGGATTGTATCTTGTACGTATTGAATATTATGTTATGAGACTCTGGTACTTGTTCAATTATGGAGAATGTTGATAAGTGTCATTGTACGAGGCATGTAACACAGTTGAATTCATGCTGAATGTTCCATCTGACCTGTGCAGTACTGTGTGGGTCTGTCCCTTCCTTGGGTGCACCACCCAGTGGGACCAGGGCAGCAGCCTGGCCCTTTGTGCACTCTCACAGTCTATGGTTGGCTGCTCAGGTTCGGATGTGTGCCTTTGCAGCCCAGGGGTGTTTCCAGGAGATCACACACAACTTTCTTCTATCACTTTTCTTAGTAACCCCCTTTCTGCAGTCTCCTCATAGTTATCAACTTCCTGGAGCATCTCTTTTTGGGCATTTTCCCAGAAAGCTTTGTTATATACTTCTGATTACTGCACCTGCATCTTGGACCACGTGGGGGAAGAGGAGGAGGACAGAAAGCAACAGTGATTTGCCCAACCTTTTGGGAGCAGAGTCCCCCAGTTAGGAAGATGCTCCCCTCCTGCCAAGGTGTTAGGCCCCTGCAGCCCCTGCAGCCCCTGGAGTTGCTGCCACCACCATTGGGTTTTGCGGGGTTGGTGCACAAGGGAATGAAGAAAGGAAAAAATTAGAGGGAGGATGTACTCCCCCCTTGGTAAGCATTAGGGAAACCCTTTCCTATTTCTTCTTCTTCTTTTTTTATTAGCTTATAACTGCATATTTATTACACTAGAAAAGTTTTCAAAATTTCATTTAAGTCCTAGTTAGTTAACATATGGTGGAATAATGGTTTCAGGAGTAGGATTCAGTGATTCATCACTCACATATAATACCCAGTGTTCATCCTAATAAGTGCCCTCCTTAACGCCCATCACCCATCTAGCCCATCCCCCCACCCACCTCCCCTCCAGCAACTCTGTTTGTTCCATTTAAGAATCTCTTATGGTTTGCCTCCTCTCTGTTTTTCTCTTATTTTTCCTTCCTTTCTCCTATGTTCATCTGTTGTGTTTCTCAAATTCCACATATGAGTGAAATCATATGTTACCTGTCTTTCTCTGCTGACTTATTTCACTTAACATAATACTTTCTAGTTCCATCCACATTGTTGTAAATGGCAAGATTTCATTCTTTTTGATTGCCAAGTAATATTCCATTGTATATATAAACCACATCTTCTTTATCCATTCTTTTTTTTAAAACATTTATTTATTTTTGAGACAGAGAGAGACAAAGCATGAACAGGGGAGGGTCAGAGAGAGAGGGAGACACAGAATCTGAAACAGGCTCCAGGCTCTGAGCTGTCCAGCACAGAGCCCGACGTGGGGCTCGAACTCACAGACCGCAAGATCATGACCTGAGCTGAAGTCGGCCGCTTTACCGACTGAACCACCCAGGTGCCCCTTCTTTATCCATTCTTGGGTTGATGGATATTTGCACTCTTTCCATAATTTGGCTATTGTCAATAGTGCCATTACAAACATCTGAAGGGGCATTTTTCGAATCAGCTTTCTATCAATTTCGAATCAGCATTTTGTATCCTTTGGATAAATACCTAGTAGTGCAATTGCTGGGTTGTAGGGTAGTTCTATTTTTAAGTTTTTGAGGAAACTCCATACTGTTTTCAAGAGTGGCTGCACCAGTTTGCATTCCAACTAGCAGTGCAGAAAGATTCTTTCTTCACACCCTTGCCAACATCTGTTGTTTCCTGAGTTATTTTCACCATTATGACAGGTGTGAGGTGGTATCTCATCGTGATTTTGATTTGTATTTCCCTGAGGATGAGTAATGTTGAGCATCTTTTAATGTTTCTGTTAGCCACCTGGATGTCTTCTTTGGAAAAGTGTCTGTTCATGTCTTTTGCCCATTTCTTCACTGGATTATTCATTTTTTGGGTGTTGAGTTTGATAAATTCTTTATAGATTTTGGATACTAACCCTTTATCCGATATTCTTTGCATATATCTTCTCCCATTGCATCAGTTGCCTTTTAGTTTTGCCCTTGACTATTTCTTGAACTAGAATTGGAAGGCGTCTCTCAGAATGCTCTCTGTTCAGCCCATGCCCACTTCCAGGTTGGGGCTGGATTTAATCCAGGCTGGGAAGTAACAGAAACTCACAACCGGGTGATGGTGCTCCAAATTCTGGTCTTTCCCCCCAATCTACCTGCTACCATTTACCTTCCAGAATTCTTAAATAGCTACTCCATGCTTTCTGTTCAGATTTTATGGCTGCATTTAGGACAGAAATGGGGGGTGGGCAGTGTGCTCACTCCATTTTACCTAGAACCAGAACTCTCTGTTCATGAGTGTTTTTCCAACCCTGTCTGAGTTTCCAATTTTTATTTTGAGACAGAGAGAGAGTGAGAGACACACACACAGAAAGAGAATCTCAAGCAGGCCCCACGCTCATTGTGGCTCAACGCAGGGCTCCTGATTGACCCTGGGATCATCACCTGAGCTGAGATCAAGAGTCGGGTGCTTAACCGACTGAGCCACCCAGGCACTCCTATGTTTTGTTTTGTTTTGTTTTTAATTTGCTGCTAGAGACACTGAACTGGCACAATATTTTTTTTAAGTTTATTTATTTATTTTTGAGAGAGAGAACAGGGGAGGGGCAGAGAGAGAGGAAGAGAGAATCCCAAGCAGGCTCCACGCTGTCAGTGCAGAGCCGACGTGGGGCTTGATGTCACAAACTACGAGATCATGACCTGAGTCAAAACCAAGAGTTGGATGCTTAACCAATGAGCCGCCCAGCTGCCTCTGAACTGGTACAATTTTATGTTGTAAACGGTTGTTATGCTTTATACAATCTTCATATCCATGCTTACCTTTTGTTTAGAAAAACATTCAGATAATAGAGAAGTTGTGATCATAGTGACTGTACTCATGCTGTTCCCTTATCCAGGACTGCTCATTTTATGGTGGCACCACTACCAGTGGTGGGAACAGCCACTCCAAGGCTTCCCCGGATTCAGGCGCCTGCCCTGACAATGTCCGCCTTAACGCCTCGGGGAGGGGAGAGCCTTTATGCCATGCTGGGGGAAACAGCAGGTGTGTGGGAGGGATGCGCGTGATAAATCCCCTCCATCGTGCCTGTCTCCCTCAGCCTTTAGATGAGAAGCCCCCTAAGGGCCTATTCGACCCATCCGACCAAAATAGCAAACTCTACATTTAGTGAGCAGAAGCAGACTTGAGTCACTATCCTAGAAGTCACCGCCCTCACACGACGGTCAGACCTGAATCAGTTCACAGACACCACATCCTTTTAATTAAGGAGAGGTTGGGGTGTCCCTGGGGAAGGATCCTGTGCTAACACCGTGAGTATTCGCAAAGTTTCCTCCCGGCCTTTCAGAAAAGGACCTGTAGCCACACTCCCCAGATCGTGCACAAGGGAAAGGAAAACACTAGACCTTTAGGGGATCATTGCACACTGAGCCTGAACCCGCACTCATCAGGACAGAGGCCTCACCAGAAACCAGGCCCTGCCAGCACCCAGATCTTGGACTTCCAGCTCCAGAACAACAAGAGGATACACGTGTTGTTAAAGCCCCCCAGTCTGTAGGATTTTGTCGTGGCCGCCTGAGCAGGCTGAGACGAGATTGTTCTCAAGTAACATGTAAATAGGCTGCCTGAGCAGGTAGCTGACCCCCTCACCTTCCCTCCACGCATCTTTAGATTTATGACCAGCTCCCTAAAACCCACTGACTGATGGCTGAGAAACGGAGCCTGATGTGCACATGATTCTGTGTGCGGTGACGCTCTTGGCTGGGGCACTGCTGGAACGGGCCCCAGTGGGGGATGGGGGTGGTGATGGTGGAGGGGAGCCCACCCAGTGGGTGACTGCAAGCAGCATGTTTGGTTTTCCACTTTCCTTGGAAGGAGAGTGAGCTGACATATTCCCCTACACTGATGATCAGGGACCGAGAAGGAACCACTTCGGAGGATGGGGTCAAGGGGGTCTGGATGGACCTTTTGGAGCGGGCTCAGGTGTGGGAATATCCGTGTTCCACACGCAGGCCCGGCAGATGGGGAGACACCTGTTCTGCAGGTGGCAGCCAGCCGCTTCCCCTGTCGGCACACACCGCTCGCGGAAGGAGCCCCAGTCGTAGCGTGATGGCGATTCCACACGGGCCTGACGACCTCGCTCATCCCCAGCCCAGGCTACTGACGCGCCTCCCGCTCAGTCTGAGACCAGCAGCTGAGACCAACCCAGAGCCACGCCACGCGCCCCCGTGATCCGCCAGCCCCCGTGGGACCTCATTGGAGTAAAGGCTCATCCTGGGGTAGTTTTTCCTTCCCTGCTCACCAGGTCTCCACCAGGAGCGCCATCCGGAGACTTACAGAGCACGTTCTCTTTCACACTGAGCCACTCACCAAGGAAGGGCAGACGGGGGCTGCCACGGTGGGACTTCCAAGTCCTACTCCGTGTCCATCGTCCGGATGGCAGAGAATGTTGGAATGGGCCAGTTGAAGGTGCCCCAGGGTGTCCGGTGGTGGGAGAACAACTCTTCACGTGAGCTTCTGTGCTAGCAAACGTGTCCTTAGCCAACAATCCCCGGACGGTTCTGGGTTTCCTGCGGCCAAAGTGCCTGGGTCTGGGAGGAAGGGAGGAGGGGCATATGCACCTGTGAGGGTCACCAGGAATCATCCGCTTGCAAACACATTTGCTCTCACGCGCCGAACTTCGGGGTCTGCTGATTTCCAAGTCTGGGTGTGGGAGAAGGAATGTCCTTCCCAGGGGCCATTGTGCCCCGCGAGTCGGTTTTCGCACAATCCTTACCCTGCCCTGCCACACCTATCAGCCCGGGGAGCCCCTCCGGCAATTCTAAGAGGCGGGCACTTTTCCGGGGGGCCCCCCAGACCCGGAGCCTGAAGAAGTGGGGGTGCTGGGACCCTGAGGCCAGCAGCCCCAGAGCCCGCGGCTTAACGATGGAATTGTGGGTCTGGTTCCGGAGCACGGAGAGGATTGTTCCACGCACGGCTCCAAAGAGCATTTCTCTCTCATCCGGGGCGTGGAAGGCAGCGTTTGGAGACGGAAGCCGGGAGTTAACGGCTAAAACACGCACGTGCAAGTCTTCCGGGCTGCGGGCTGCGCGGCGGCGAGGAGTGTGGGTGAGTGGCTCTGAGCGCGGACGCCCCCGGCAGCACGGGGTGGGTGGCGGTCAGTGCGGGCGCGGCCGAGGCGGGCCTCGCCCGCCCCCCCTCCGCCCTGCGCAGCACCGGGGTTATTTTCGGCAGCATCCTCGCCGGCTTTCCGTAGACGCAAACCCGCTCCCCGCCAGCCTGAGATGGCAGAGGAGGAAAAGAGGTGGGGTTGGGGTGTCGCG